ACACACTTTATTTCCTTAGACATTGTTTCCATCCAAATTTCCGTATGCAGGAAAGTTGTTGATTGTGCAAAATAACATTGCATGTATTTTAAACTTTTCACTGAAATATGCATCATCAACGTCAACACCTTTATCCCACAAAAGTTTTAAATAATCAATTAATGGAATTAGATAAACATCTATGTCATTTCCAGGTTGCCTTGGTCAAAGAAATCATCATATTTAAGATCATATACTTGTGCTTCATGCTCAATCAAGGAAACAAGTTGTAAATCGTGATAAGTACATGCCACGGAGAATGGTTTAGTACTCATATTACCAAAGGAGTTCATTCCATATGTGGCAAGCCCAAGTCTAAGGCTTCTTGGCTCAAGGCAAAATTCTGGAAACAATTAATCAATTGTCTTACATTGACCAAAATCAATTATATGATGAATGTTTTCATCGTATTTTCTTTCGTCTGCATGTCATATTTTACGTCATTTACATTAGAAAAAGTCTCTTGAACCTTGAAATTATTGGCAAGTACCTTAACACTTTAGCAGAAGAATGCTTCTTACTAACATTATCACTGTCATCACCTTTGTTGTTTTTTAACTTGTAGCGCGACTCACTATATTCTGGACATTGATCAAATTTTCATACTCTTTCCTGTATAATATGCAATCATTAGGGCATGCATGTATTTTGACATACTCCAAATCCATTGGACACAATATCTTTTTGGCCTCATGACAATGATCTAACAAATTGTTATATTATGGTAGCATTTGTTTCAACAAATCAAGCAATTATGTGAAACTTTTATTCGATCCACCCACTTTTTTTTACCTTCAGATTAATAATTTTAACAACATAGACAATCCTGTAAAACTGGTGCACCCCTTATATAAAGGCGCATCCATGGCACAACATAAATTATCATAAAATATGGGCTTTCATATAAGACGGTTCTCTCATATCACAAAATCACATCTTCTATTCGATCATCCATATCTTCACCATCTTCATCCATTTGTGACGTCTCACTTCAATTATTACCCACTTCTCCATGCCACATTTATGTTGTATAATTTTGACATATTCTATCACAATATAGGTGATGAAATATTTCTTTTTCGACAGTTTGTTGATATTCTCGCAAACAACACAAGGAAAATAAAATATACCATTGTTGTCAAGAATATTTTTTTCGGCAAATTCAAGAACTCCTTTCTCATACACCAGACCTAATTTTTTAGCTTTCATCCAACTACGATCCATAAAAAATTCTGAAATTAATGTAAAAAGACTATTGTGAACGGACACACTAATGCTACACACACAAATCTAAAACATATTCAGTAAATCTGAATATAATATGAAAGCATACTAATATGAACAATACACATTAAAATTTCAAAGAACATAAACAAAAACCATTGATTTATGAAAGAAACCAGTATCCATTGATTCACAAAATCGCGACGAACCTAAACATTCAAAAGCGTCAGAGAGAGAGAGAGAGAGAGAGAGAGGAGAGAGAGGAGAGAGAGAGAGAGGAGAGAGAGAGAGAGAGAGAGAGAGAGGAGAGAGAGAGAGGAGAGAGAGAGAGGAGAGGAGAGAGGAGAGAGAGAGAGAGAGAGAGAGAGAGAGAGAGAGAGAGAGAGAGAGAGAGGAGAGAGAGAGAGAGAGAGAGTGATAACATACAAGATATTTGAAGAGGATGGTGAAGATTTTGCTTCCAGAAAATAATTATTTTTTGAAGAGGATGGTGAAGATATTTTGCTATCACTGTCGTCTCGTTCGCTGGGACACCCTATGTGTTATGAAAGGAACAAAAATACTTGTTATGTTTTAATTTTGTGGGAAACAATTTCCACAACGGTTGCAAGATTCAACCGCAGTGAAATATGGAACATATAACCACAGTTGATTGAAACAATCGTAGTTGTTATACTTTCAATTTTTAAATAAAAAAAATGTTAAGGAAAACACACTTAATTTTACTGAAAAAATGGAAAAATGTTTATCCTAGGATTCGAAGCTTGCCACCTAAATTATATGACAATGGTTCGTTAAAGGAACTGTGATGAAAAGTTTCTTAATCAAATTAAAAAAATGCGCGGTTAAAAAATAAGATATGACTACGATGGATAAATGATTGTGGTAATATTGTGTTACTGAAGGTGTTTTCCGTAGTAGTGTACCCTCTAAACTTCCTTATTCTTGAGTGACACAAGGATATGGTGGCGTACAGAAAATCAATCTAGTTAGAACTTTAACATGTGTATATAGGTACTAAAGCCTCTAAAATATCATATCACAATGCTCTATCAAGCCTCTCATAAAATCTCACACCTCCATGAAAAGTATGGCCTCTCCATGTAGTAATTTTACCAATAAAGCCCATGCCCATCAGATTATACGAATCAACTTTATCTTTGAATTTCTCACATATTCTTCATAAAGTTGGATTTTCTTCCCTTTTTTTCTGACTCTATCATTATATCATTAAAGTATCTTCCTAGTAACCATCCACCATTAACTTCCAAAGCAACTCTTTTTAATTTGTCCCATAACTCCTTTTTCCCATCTTCTCAGGGACTAGCATAGACAAGGGGGAGAGTTATTTATTACTTTTCCCCTAAATAATCTTTGCATGCATAAATTGGAAGTGTTTTTCAAGGATCATAATTTGAACCTTATCATATTTCCACTTCATTGCCATGCCTCCTGTGAATCCATGAACTTCAATGAAATCATAGCAATGGATCCTAATTGTCTAAAAGGCTTGCAAAATTCCCCTTGGTTTATTCTAGTTTCCATGATTACGAACATATCTAGGTGACTTTCCTATATACACTGCTTACATACACGAAGAAAAGTTTTATGAGAATCTCCTTTGCAATTCTAAATGAATATATTGAATCAATAATTATCTATAAGAAACTATTGAGAAATTGTACCAACCCTTTGACATTGGCTTTGAGTCTCTTTGACAAGATCCATATCTGAACCAACTTCTTCCATCATTGCAACATGTGTTTCAATTGATTTCTTTTCCCTCCATTACTACTTTCCTCTGAGTGGCTTTGAAAAACTGGTGAATTGGGAGCTAAATTCTCATTATTCCTTCTAGTTATTTTATTATTCCCCTTAGCCCCTTATTTCTTCTGGTCCAAGATGGTCCATGTTATTGATGTTTGCCAACGGAGGCTCATTGGTGTTCTCAGTCTTCTTAGAGATTTCATAATTCTTTCCCTCATTCAACTTCAGTCCCTTGATCAAATCCCCCACACCCATCTCATCTAGAAGCTTCTCCAGGTTGTTCCTTTTAGTTCCATGTGTGTATCTTTTATGTTTCTCATTCACTATGCCATATAATTAAAGCTACACACCCGATTCTCATGCCCAACATCTTAACTATAACACCCTCATTTCCATGGATTTATTGAATCCTGTTCTTGATTGCTTTGTACCTGATTCTCCTACCCAACATTTTAACTATAACACCCCGTCTCCATGGATTCATGATTCTTTTTTTCTCCATTTTCGAGAGAATGAACTTTGGGCAATCATACTCACCAAACTGGTTTTCTTCAATCTTCAGTCCCACATTGTTTCACTACCCATATTCTGACCTTCTTATACTATAGTGTGATGTGATTGATCTTCTGCTTCATTCAACTTTTCTCTAATAATCACATTCTTTTAGATATTAACCACCATGTTGTTATTTTCACTAGCATGGTGGTATCCCAGTTCATCATATACTCAGAGCATGGTTGATGTAGCGGAAAATGTTGCCTTACCTTCTTTGATTCTTTTGGCACCACGATCCTTCAAGTCATCCTCTTCAATTTGATTTGTGTGGTTTGTCATAACAAACCCTGGCGAGAGAAGGTTCATAGCCAAATCCTATTGGAACAATTTTTTCTATATTTGAATTTTTTTTATTAAACATTGATTTTTATTAAAGCATATTAAAAGAAATAAATCTAAGTTTAATAAATAAACACAATACACATCTTTACAAAAAAATAATATGCAATATTTAATAATTTAAAATAAATTATTTTTTACTTTATATATACCTACGACCTAAAATGACACACAAGCGCTACAATATAGATTTTATGTGTTTGTTTAAATCACATCGTAAATGACGAATGAATATGAAGATTAAAATTAATCTTATAATCCCTAAAAAAATACACACGTGTCTATTCCAATCTTATACCAATTATAGAATGTATCTAACAATCAAATTAATCTTTTAACCATTAAGATTTATACCAATTATCGAATGTATCTAACGATCAAATTAATCTTTTAACTATTAAGATTAACGTTTCAATCACATATCAATCTTAAAATTAATCCAACAATCAAAATTTAATCTTTATCTCATCAACGTCAACACACACAATACTTCCAACCTTATACGAGTTGTCAAACTAATCTAAAGATAAAAATCAATCTCTTAAACATTAAGATTCATACGCGAGCATTTTACTCATATACCAATTTTAAAATTAACAATCAAAATTAATCTCTAACTTATCAACTTCAACACGCGACGAGTCCAATCATATATATCAACCTTCAATTTAACCCAACAATAAAAGACCAATCTCTTAAAGATTAACACATAACCAATCGAAGCATTGAATTAATTCATTAATTTAAAATTGTGTCAACAATTAGACCTAATCTCAACCTTAAGATTAATCCACTATCTAAGATTAAAGATTAACCCTAATCACCCTAAAATAAACCCTAATTAGGAAACACACTATTATATAACTACACACCTAATTTTATTTTCTATAAATTTTCCACCCCCCTCTCTCTCTCTCTCTCTCTCTCTCTCTCATCACATGCATCTTCATTACGATCGATCCTCTCCCATGGTTTAGCAACTTCCTCCAAACCTCAAATTCATCCTCACCGTCGATCTCACTCTCCAGAACCTTCTCGAAACTGAACCAAATCGCGTAGATCTCAAATTAGGTTTTATGGAAATGGCGTCAAGTCCTCGCTCCGTTGAAGAGATCTTCAAAGATTTCAGTGCTCGTCGAGACGGAATCGTTCGCGCTTTAACTCAAGGTATTCAATTCAATTTTTCAATTCATTCAATTCCGTTTTTTTTTCACTATTTCGAAGTTTCAACTAACTATAACTCATCGATTTTTTTTCTTCTTTTTCAGATGTCGATGAATTCTACACTCTCTGTGATCCAGGTAAACGAGAAGTTGAAGATCTGAATTTTATTTTATTTTATTGATTTTTTGTTTTGTTTATTTCTTCCGAATTTGATTGATCATGTGTAAATTGTGAAGTTGTTAACTTGTTACGAGAGTTGAAGCTTTTTATTTTTGGAGAATTTGAAGAAAAAATAAGTCAAAGTTTAACATGTCCCATGTGTTTTTTTTTTACTATTTATTTTTTGTTTGTTAGTTTATATATTTATTAATTTATTTGCGCACGAATTCACACACATCAACTAATTCAATGTTCAACTATAAAACAGTTGATCAGTTAGTAAAATAAATAAATTCGCTGATAAATGTATTGTTTCCAAATCACGACACTGACACGTCGATACGGAATAAATTTAAAAATTGAATAAATTAAATGTAATTATGAAATGTCGGTTTTGGACACAGACACCGGCTCATTTTTTTCCAGAGGTGTTGGTGTTATAGAGATTCAGAAACAAAGCATTTATATTTATCAGTGTTTTGATTTTATTCTTCTGAGACAGATCTAACAGATCAAGTGTATGGATTTTGATTTGGAGAGTAGATTTTAGCAGACCTGAATTAGTTGAGTTAGATTAATGCTGGAAATGCTGGTGGTTATTATGGTTTTATTAATGATAATTATGAATCTGTGTTGTTTCGCCGACTTTGAAGTTTATCTGTGGTTTTTTGGTTGAAGATAAGGATAACTTGTGCCTGTATGGACATTCGAATGAATCATGGGAAGTGACTCTTCCAGCAGAGGAGGTTCCACCTGAGCTTCCGGAACCAGCTCTTGGAATCAATTTTGCCAGGGATGGCATGAACCGTAGGGATTGGCTATCTCTTGTTGCTGTGCACAGTGATTCATGGTTGCTTTCTGTGGCTTTTTATCTCGGAGCTCGTCTTAATCGCAATGAAAGGTATTATCTACTAGGAATAAGTATGTGGTTATTATGATGTATGTTGGTTTTGGCTCGTTATATGTAATTCACACGCTTAATGTTGAAACTCAAGGCTTGCAATTGTTGTAGTTGCTGAGTTGCATCGATATCATCATTGTTATCTGTTGTGACAGTGATTCTGGATAAGTTTATATATATGTTCGGATGGGTTAAGACCATTTTTTATTTATCATCGATAAGTTACAATTCAGGGAACTTGATAATTGACTTGAGGTTGTGTGTAAGGTGACTCTGTTGTAACTTTAAGCTATAATTTAGAATTGAACAATTATGTTGAATAACTTATGTGTTCTTTCTCTCCCCATTAATATTCCTCCTCCTTACGATATTTTGCTTGGAAGGGAATTACAGGCTTCAAAGACTGTTGAGAGCTAATACCTGCAACTGTGTTTGATTTATCATTTGTTTGGTAGCATGTGTTACTGTTGCTTTGGTCTTGCAGTTTCTTCCTTATAACTTTCCCATTTTAATGGGCTTATTTGTTTTAGTGTTTTCCTTCAACTGGTTTGTAATGGGCTTATGGTCCCTCTTTCTATTGATGGTTCCACTTATTCATGGCAGGAAACGTTTATTTAGCTTGATCAATGAGCTTCCAACTGTGTTTGAAGTTGTAACTGACAGGAAGCCAGTAAAGGACAACAAGCCCACTGTTGACAGTGGAAGCAAATCTCGGGGCAGCACCAAGGTTAGTGTAATTGTCTTTTTGTAAGGTTGTTAAATACTCTGAGCTAGTGTAGTAATGCTTGTTTGTTCTAAAAGCTATTTAAATATTCTCTTTTTTTTTTTGTTGGTGTTTATCTGCTAAACCAAACGCACAGAAACTATACCCAAATGTTTGACTTGTTTATTTGTTATAGTCGTTAGATACGTGGTTAACATTCTGAAGTTGCTTTGAGTACAGTCAAAACACTAAACCATATGTGGTTTTTTAAATTGTTCATAATGTATCACTCACCACTTTTCTTTTTGCTTATGTAAATGATCATGAAAATTGCAAGCAGAGTATACCTGGCCTGCATTTCAGAAACACTTTGTTTGATCATGATGTCTATTTCATGTTATTACACCATCTGTACCAATACTGTATAAGATAAATTAAAGATGTCGTAGGGTACTAAATCTCGTCTTGATGCTGCAATTTGATACATGTTTGTTGATTTATATCTGTAGAGATCAAGTGACGGGCAAGTCAAAAGCATCCCAAAGTTGGCAGATGATCAAGGTTACGAGGAGGAAGAAGATGAGCACAGTGAAACCCTTTGCGGGAGCTGCGGTGGAAACTACAACGCGGATGAATTTTGGATTGGCTGTGATATATGCGAGAGGTGGTACCATGGGAAGTGCGTGAAGATTACTCCTGCAAAAGCTGAGAGCATAAAGCAATACAAATGTCCATCATGCAGCATGAAGAGAGGCAGGCCCTAAAAGACAACATATGAAGTGAATAATATTGCTTTGTTGGTGCTGACAGATACTGTATTATTGCCAAATCTCCTGTAGAAATTCATTTAATGGGTATAGTTTATATATGACTAGTGGGTAAAATTTCAGATATTATAGTTAATTTCATGGACCAACAGTTTGTGTTACAAATTTGGCTCCTCTTAGTGAGGTGCGGGGAAAATTTCAAGGTTATAATTATCGATTAAAAAATTTAAGCAGTAGATTTTAATTTTACATTTTGTTGCATATATTTTCGTATAATTTTTTATAGTTGATTTCTTTTTTTTCATTTGTCCCCATCTGCTACTAGTTATTGGGATCAGATTCTTATTGATATTGTAATGTTGTAGCAATGGTTGGTGCACTCTTTGCAGGTTGGTTCACTTAAGATTATAGTTTAACTATCAGGTTCTTCATGGTTTCCTGCATCCTCTCTGAATCTGCATTGCTTCTCTTGAAATTGAAAACTGAGGGATCTTTTAAAACTCCTTTTTATTTTTCATTGCATTAATCTATGTTAATTTTTCTGTTATTATCTTTAGAAAGCTCCTTTTTGATTATATGCTTTCATGTTGATTCTTATCATATTCTTTTGGTTAAGTTTTCCTTCAAGGGTTATTTTTCTAAGTGGAAGACTCCTTGTTGATGCTTAGTACAACTTTTGCTCTTCAATTTGATTCGTGGTGTTACTAAAAAAATATGATTGTGATATTACAAAGCAATGAGGTGTCACTACTCACTAGTAAGATATCATTCTTGTCCTATGAGCACATGTTAAGTAATATAATATAATTAGAAAACTTTAAATATAATAAAGTTATTTAAAAAATTGAATATACACATTTCAAGAGAATATTAATATAAATATTTTATTAACATAGGATACATGTTAGCATTTATTAATTTAAATGCGATTTGCCATATAATTTGTCTAAGAACAAAGAAGACGTATAGTCTAGTTTCTTTGTCCAGAGTATCTGAATCAATCACTAGACATGGAAGATGTCATCTTTATATAGTCCAATAGTTGATTTTCATGTATATATTATTGTTCACTTGCTAAAAATATATTTTAGATAAAATGTGGATATATTTGTATGTAGTCGGCTTTTAAGCGTTTTGTTTGGAACATCTTAAAGCATAGGAAAATATTGATTGAGAAAGAAAAAGAGGGATGCTATGTGTTTGATGATATATTTCTGGACGCACCTAAAATTATATTAACAAATCGAAGATGTATCTTCATATACCGTTTCGTTTTTAGTTAGTATTTGATGGTTATTAGAAAATATATTGTTTCGTTCTTGGTCAAATTTATGTGGGATTTTTTCTCGCACTTGATTCTTAACACGCTCCTGTAAGTGCGAGTCTATACACAATACTTTATCTCAAGTGGAAGCTCTTTCATTCACATTCACTTGTACTGCCGTTAACATTATTCAACAGGATATCTTCTACCCACCATCTGCAGAGATGAATTTCGATATAAGTGAGCTGATCCTTCACTCGACCAAAGGCGACACACCACATACTCACTTAAAACCTTAAAGTGATAGGTGTGTGTTCTCTCATTTATAAAGTGTCCAATCTTCATATTTTTAATCAATGTGAGACTTCTTCCTACCAGTTAATTCTTGAGATAATTTTGACAATCAATTTGATAATGCCTCTGTATAGTCCAACCAAGAGCGAATCCAAAGGAGTATAGGGTATTTTTTTGGAATACCCTTCAATTTTTAATTTTTTTTACCAATTTACCCTCATCTCTTTTAACCCTTTTTCTTATTGTTACTACAACACTACTTCTACTCTTTTAGGTTTAACAAAACAACACTATCTTCAACTCAGAAGCAGCCGTGCAAGCATTAGCAACACTGCCCAACCGTCACTTTTCGACCAAATAAGTTACATCGTTATCCAGCCTCCGCTCTCCAACTCCAAGTTCGTCCAATCATCCTTATTCTAAATTTCTATTTTCTAACTTCCAATTTCTGAATCTGAGTTATAATGTAACTTGTAACTTGTAATTGTAATTTGGATTTAAATGGTAAAATTAATTAGATTGTGATTGTGATAGTAGGATGTTGCTCAAATGCTTTACACTCGAATTGAGATTTTCAGAGCCAAAGAAGCTTACTCCTTCAACTGGGCAGCCCGAAGAAGCTTGTTCAAATGACGCACAATCAAAACCTCATTCTTCATATAAGGTGTTTAAAAAGGGATTTATTTCGAGACGAGTCCTAGAAAAAGAAGTTAAATTCTTGAGTATCATCTAAATGGTCTAGATGAGGTAAGCAAAGCTTACCTTGTGAATTGAGCATGTAAAATTAAATTAACTGAATATGAACCCACTGATATTGAGAGAAGGGATCGTTCTTCTCAATATAATTGGCATGAAGAGTATGATTGATTGAAATATAGTGTAGAAAAGATGATGTTTTTTGTTTGCCTTATTATGTGTGCTACAAAGTTACTAGTAATTATGCATTTGCGGTGATTGGTTTTAAAGGTTGGAATTCAAAGCATAAGTTGAATAAACACATTGGTGAAAAATCAAATAGTCATCATAAAAAGTGTGTGAAAATATGTGAGGATCTTATGAAGAAAAAGTAGAGTATTGAGTCTTCGTATGCAAAATATAGTTCAAAAGAAGAATTATATTATCTTGTTCGTTTAAAAGCATCACTTGAAGCTGTCAAATATCTTGTTAGAGGCAGATAGACATTTAAGGCATATAATAAGGGTGAAATAATGTTTATAAGGATCATTTTCTATAATTTCTAGAAGTCTTGGGGAGAAATAGTGAGAAAGTAGCCGCTACAATAACAAGTGGAGGGGGAAATTGTAAGATGACTTCTCCTGTTATTAAAAAAAAACTTGCAAATACATGTGTGGTTGAAACTATTAAGAAGATAGTGGGAGAAATTAGAGATGATTTCTTTTGTGTTCTTATTGATGAATCCGGTGATTGCTTTAGTAAAGAACAAATGGCTGTTGTAGTGCGGTTTGTTGATGTCGGAGGGTTTGTTGTGGAAAGATTTATTGACATTGTTCATGTTAAGGATACAAGTGCAATAATGCTTAAAGGGGCTCTTGAACGTTGTTCTCGGAATTTGGGTTGTGTATATCTAAAATTGAGGTCAAGGGTATGCTGGAGAAAGTAATATGCGTGGTCAATTTGGAGGTTTGGAGACTTTGATTCAAAAGCAAAACCCGCAAGCCTATTATGTCCATTATTTTGCTCATTAACTTCAATTGACTCTTGTTTCAATGGCGAGAAAGCATGAAGATATTGATTTGTTTTTTTGTGAAGTGTCTCGTATTGTTACTTTTTTACGGTCATCTAACAAAAGACAATCTCTACTTCGGAATAAACAAGTCTCATTTTGTAAATCTAATTGAAAAAGAATGGGTGGAAACTAGTATTGGTTTAAATCAAGAGTTGTCCATTGCAAGAGCGGGTGATACACGTTGGGGATCTCACTTTCGAATTCTTAACAGATTGGTTGATTTGTTTACTCATAAGTGTTCGAAGATTTAAAAAATGATAGTTATTCTAAGGGTGAATCAAAAAGTTTGTTACTTGTTATGCAAACTTTTGGTTTTGTGTTTATGTTGCATTTAATGGTTGAGATTTTATCTTTGACAAATAATTTGTCACAATCATTGCAAATGGGGATCAAGATATTGTGCATCCCGTGTAACTTGTCCAAATATGCAAGAAAAAGTTGCAAGAATTTAGAGATGATGGATGAGAAGCACTTTATGAGCCAGTGTTGGCTTCTTGTGGTAATGTTGAAATTGATGTGCCTGACATGGAGTCTCGATATATGAAAGATAAGAAATCTAAACGACTTGCTTCTTTTGTTATAAATTTTCATTATTTCAATAATGATTGCTTCTTACATGTCATAGATGTGACACTGAAAGAGTTGAATGATCAATTTACATCTGAAAATACTAAATTGACAAATTGTGTTGCTTGCTTGAGTCCTTGTTATTCATTTGAAAAATTTAACATTAAATCATTTGTGAGATTGACAAGATTGTATCCAAATGACTTTGAGGATCTTATCGATAAAAAATTGTCTAGTGAGTTGGAGACTTATATTTAGAGAGTTAAGATGGACGATCACTTTTACAATTTGTTTGGCATCTCAGAACTTTATAGGAATCTTGTTCGAATAAATAAGCATAAGATATTTAAGTTTGTCTACACACTTGTCAAACTAGCTTTGTCCTTACCGGTGGCCAGTGCAAGTGTTGAGCGAGTATTCTCGAGGATGAAATAGGTTAAGAATGAGTTTAGAAGTAGAATGACTAATTCATGGCTAAATGATTTCTTAGTGACATTTGTGGAGAAGGAGATGTTTAATACAATTGGTGATATGGATATCATCAAACATTTTCAAAGAATGATTAAAAGAAAAATGCACTTACGATTAGACTAGAATGTTTTTTATTTTTGAGTTGTAAATGAAATACTAGTAAATTTTTATTAAGTAATGTTATCATATTTCTTTTCATTAATTTTTACGTACATTTTACTTTTATTATGAGAATTCCTTAGATTTTAATCCTGGCTCAACCCTGAGTCCAATAACATTGATTTTGTCTGTGTTATCGCCAAAAGAGAAATTATAGAGACCGTAGTTGTTTTCGTTGTTGGAAAGAAGAAGGTAAAAAAGAAGAGAAATTATAGAGACGGTAGTTATTTTCATTGTTGTAAAGAAGAGGGTAAAAATGAAGTTTGAGTTTTATTTTGTCGTAGATGTTGTTGGTTATGTAGTTACTTCACACGCTATAGACCCAACACAAAAACACTATGCATATTCTATAATTCTAATTACTTTTTTAAAATACTTTATAAATTAAAAGGTGTTGAAATATTAAATTAGATTAGATTAGATTTAATATTTAAATATAATCTAAGTTGTGTTAGTCCAAACCCAATTAAGATTGTATATATATAGTCATAGTGT